TGTTAGGGTTATTTCTAGAGTTTTCCTACTGTTATTTCTTTTAAGTTTTGTTCTTTCAATTATTCTAGCAGTCTTACATTCATTGTCTTCAACATTTCAAGTTTTGCCATTTAAATTCAGTTTTTCAATACAAGTAATTACTTTCAAGTCAATCTTTATTTTTCTGAATTTAATTATGTCTTCTTTAATATTTTGAGTTGTTTACATTATCATGACTGAGTAGTTTTTCCCTGAATAATCTGAAGAAAGAGTCCTAATCTATGAATTAGAGTTTATGCCTTACACTAGGGTTCTAGTGTTTATGTGATTGTTTGAATAAGTTATACTTGTGAAAAACTATTTGGTTTGTGTACTTCCCGATTATCTATATACAATTGGTTTTAGTATAGATATTTAGTGGTACTTTCTGCAACCTTTAGGATATTGATTCTTTCATCATAAATTGTCTTNTGTAGTTTTTCCTTGAATAATCTGAAGAAAGAGTCCTAATCTATGAATTAGAGTTTATGCCTTAAACTAGGGTTTTAGTGTTTATGTGATTGTTTGAATAAGTTATACTTGTGAAAAACTATTTGGTTTGTGTACTTCCCGATTATCTATATACAATTGGTTTTAGTATAGATATTTAGTGGTACTTTCTGCAACCTTTAGGATATTGATTCTTTCATCATAANTCCATTCCACCAGTTCCATCTTTGGGACCCCAGAGGTCTTCTGTTAGGGAGGATGTGGCAATTGATGTGGATGACACAGATAATGAGGCTGAGGAAGATAAAATTGGGACTAATGTGAAGGAGGATGCAGCTGATGGGAGTGAAGATGTTGTTGCTTGATGGTTTTTGTTTTAAGTTTTAGAGTTTAAGTGTTATGAATTTTGTATAGCCTAGGCTTTAGTTTTTGTTGAGTTGATGTAAGTAAAACCAATGGCTAAAAATCAATGGAAACACATCTTTTGAATCATGTGCCTTTTGTTCTTTCAAATGTATGCGTTATGATTTGATTACATGGTTTTCTTTTTCTTGCTTTGGATGTTTGAAAGTTTGTTTTAACTTGTTTCTTAGTTTTGATGTTTGCTAGGGATTAGCAAAGCCAAAGTTGGGGTGTGTGTTGGGTGCTCAATAGTGCATTATTTTATAGTTTAACATATTCACTTTAGGATTGATAACAGACTAACTTACTTCACTTAGTGCATATTGCATCTTATGCTTTGATTTCTGTGTTTGCATGTAGTTTTGGTGTAAAAGTGGAGATTAAGCATTGATAGGATGGCAAGGTACAAGTTGGGATTGAGTTTTCTTAGGAGAAGATGAAGTCGAGAGCCTTGGAAGTTATTTAGGAAAAAGAAGAGAAGTTTTACCGGTAGATGTTGTACTGATAGGAAGACAAAAAAAAAATGAAGGTTCTACTGGTAGGAAGCCAGTACAACCGGTAACGTTAAGTACATAAGATTAGTTCAGAAGTCCTACTGGTAGATGGTACATGTTTTACCGATTAAAAAACTTATGAAAGTTTATACTTTTTGTTATCAGAGAAGTCCTATCGGTAGATGATAGATGTTATACTGGTAGCAAATGTCTCAGTATTTTGTCAGAAGAAGTCCTACCAATAGGTAAAGGATGTTCTAGTGGTAGGAATAGCCAAAGAAGTTTCAGAGATTTTATCAGAACAAAGTTTTACCGGTAGATTTCATTGTTCTACCGGTAAGTCGTGCTACAGAAAGAGTTGCTACCGGTAGGTCAAGGTAGATTTTTACGGGCTGCTCAATTAAAAATTAGATTTTGTCAAATTTTTTGGGGATCCTAAACCAATTAGAGGAGGAAATAATTTTGGGATGAATATATGTCAAAGATTTGAAGATTCTCCTTCCTACTAGAATAAATAGAAGGCACTATGGTGAATGTAGACATTATGTTTTGGAGCTTTCTGCCAAAACTTTTTCTTTAGTTTTCTTTGTTTTTCTACGTTAGAAAGTGTTAGGGTTATTTCTAGAGTTTTCCTACTGTTATTTCTTTTAAGTTTTGTTCTTTCAATTATTCTAGCAGTCTTACATTCATTGTCTTCAACATTTCAAGTTTTGCCATTTAAATTCAGTTTTTCAATACAAGTAATTACTTTCAAGTCAATCTTTATTTTTCTGAATTTAATTATGTCTTCTTTAATATTTTGAGTTGTTTACATTATCATGACTGTGTAGTTTTTCCCTGAATAATCTGAAGAAAGAGTCCTAATCTATGAATTAGAGTTTATGCCTTAAACTAGGGTTTTAGTGTTTATGTGATTGTTTGAATAAGTTATACTTGTGAAAAACTATTTGGTTTGTGTACTTCCCGATTATCTATATACAATTGGTTTTAGTATAGATATTTAGTGGTACTTTCTGCAACCTTTAGGATATTGATTCTTTCATCATAAATTGTCTTTCAATTGCTACTTTTGATTCTTTCCAAAGATTTTAGTTGAAAATATCCTTTTATACTAGTTTGAATACGAAAACAGACGAGTTATAGATTTATAGTAGAAATCTTGTTCATATGTGGAATGAATTCTAAAGATTATATAATCTTTCCAACTGTTGAATTTCGTTTTCATTTGTAATTAATTTCCAACTCTCAAACATCAAAAAAAAATTTCCTTTAATTTTCCATCACTTTGGATTCTAAATCTTTCCCTGAAGAGATAACCTTGAACTTATGTTCAAGTTACTAAATNATATAATCTTTCCAACTGTTGAATTTCGTTTTCATTTGTAATTAATTTCCAACTCTCAAACATCAAAAAAAAAATTTCCTTTAATTTTCCATCACTTCGGATTCTAAATCTTTCCCTGAAGAGATAACCTTGAACTTATGTTCAAGTTACTAAATGATACTATTCTCTTATGCTCATGAAAATACAACCCCTTTGGAGGACAAGCATTTTTTGTACCGTTGCAGGGGATCGAACCCGAGTTACTCATGTGACAGGCGGAAATACTCACCAGTATACTACAATGGTATCCCTCTAAGGTATCCCCAAAAACAGAAAAATGTTCATCCCTGAAAATGCTCATTTCCTAAGGTGGTGTTGGTTTAACTTGAATCCTTCTACTTTTGTGTGGAGGCTCTTGGACCTTATCTGAGCTAGGTTTCATGGCTTTTAGTATCAAGCGAGATGACTTTGGTCTGTCTAACAATCATCAGGGAATGTTAAGGTTTTCCAACCAGGGTCTCGGTTCATGTCCCCTCTTTACATTCTCCATGCATTACCTTTGTGGTAAGGAAAGTCTTCTTCTTCGAGTACGCCTTTGAGACTAGCCTTCGGTTTCCTCTGCCCCCTTTTATCAGGGTCGTTCTTCATTTTTTTAACTAATGTCCCTTTCGGCTCTCAATGGAGGGATGAGGCATCTTGGTCGGCCTTCATGTTTTTTGGCGTTTGTACGGGATAGGAAACTCTCCCACTATGACCGAGTTTATCAACCTTTTCTGCTTAGTCCGCCTGCTCCTTTTGGCCTTATACTTATTTTGTCAGGAGAAATAGGGCGTCTTACTTAATTTCTGATCTCCGTACTCCTCCTACTGATGGGGAGAATAGTTTTTTCCTTGTCTTAGGGTGTGCCTGAGAATTTGAGGGAGCTACAATAGAGGCTCTTTTGAGCTCCCCGACTTTGGGATGCCCCCACAAATATGAGTAAGTAGGCGACTTTTGTCTTTTGTACAATATATTCACGTGAGTAGTTCAGTCCACCGGGTACAAACATACAAATTTAATTGACACAATTAAAGAATTCAGAAATTTAATTGACAGAAAAAAAAAAAAATTTAATGACTTAATTGACATAAAAGTTATAATTTGAAGGTCATATATATAGTTTACTCAAAAAATAATATTAAAATGACAAAATAATGATATTAAAAATAAAAACCAAATGATGTGATAATTATTTTAATGATCTTTAGGTCCCATTTTACTCATTTACTGTGTCAACGGTCTATTATTTGGACTCTTCGGTAATTTTTTTTTTTGGCCAGTGTAGCGTGTGCAAAAATTACAAATGACAAGAATAAATAAAGCAGAGGCAAGTTACGGCATAGAGGATATTAAAGAATATAGATACGCTTATACAATTTAACCTCNTATTATTTGGACTCTTCGGTAATTTTTTTTTTTGGCCAGTGTAGCGTGTGCAAAAATTACAAATGACGAGAATAAATAAAGCAGAGACAAGTTACGGCATAGAGGATATTAAAGAATATAGATACGCTTATACAATTTAACCTCAAGCAATCAGAGACAAACATGGCGACAAAATCAATTTGAAAATATAAATAAATCAGCATAATTAAATGGACTCCTAAACCTGTTATAAACTCAACCATTATTTCAAAAGTCTTAGGACTTGTGGGGGATTAGAGCTCATAACTTTTGAATGTAACATTCTATTACGCTTAGAACCAACATTCACGGTAGTCCATTCTGTCAACACTGGTCCAATGGGAGCCCTCTTCAGTATTCATCGCAATAGCACTATGCTTATTCATAATATTAATAATGACACTTTAATCAAGCTTATAGATCGTCCCTTCCGTGACGCGAACTCAAGACGTGGTATTTGCTTTGATATCAATTTTTATGAACTCAACTATTATTTCAAAAGTCAGAACTTGTGAGGAATTAGAGCTCATAACTATTTGAAAGTAACAAAACCAAATATAATTGTGGGNACGCAATAGCACTATGCTTATTCATAATATTAATAATGACACTTTAATCAAGCTTATAGATCGTCCCTTCCGTGAAGCGAACTCAAGACGTAGTATTTGCTTTGATATCAATTTTTATGAACTCAACTATTATTTCAAAAGTCAGAACTTGTGAGGAATTAGAGCTCATAACTATTTGAAAGTAACAAAACCAAATATAATTGTGGGAAGTTTTGCAACTTACCATATTCTTAATTCTGATAGAACTCACTACCTAAACAAATTTAGAAAATATATTCTTTCATATTAGAGAAATTGAAGGCTCTCGTAGCTCAGTTGGTTAGAGCACCCGTTTAGTAAGCGGGAGGTCTNATTTCACATTAGAGATATTGAAGGCTCTCGTAGCTCAGTTGGTTAGAGCACCCGTTTAGTAAGCGGGAGGTCTTGAGTTCAACTCTCAACGAGAGCAATTCCCAACTCTCTTGTTTTTGGGCGTGAAAGGCAAAATACAAGGCCCAGATGGTACAACAGACCCATTAAAAAGCCCAACAAATACAAACAAAATGTATATTTTGCTTTTGATTAATTAGAGAGTGAAAATGGTAGAAAAGATTAGAATGTGAAGTGAAACAAAGAAAAATGAAAAACAAAAATACATTTTTCGGCATGTGTTTGATTAGAATGAAAATTATATTTTATAGTTTGGAGAGTATGAAGTTACCAAAAAAAAATTTAAAATTGTCAAAATTGACTTTACTTATAACTTCTTAAAAGCGGTATTACCTATATGAAACACTATAATACTGAACATGTCTATTCTTATATGAAACACTAAATTCACTTGATCGGTCTGAGTAGATGTGCAAACAGGGGCGAAGCCAGCATTTTGTTTCAGTGGGTATAAACTAAAATTCTTATATTTAAATTACAAGTGCAACATTGTTTTCATCAAAATGTATATTTTATTAATGAACCTTTTTTATGTATAGTTCCGTAAAACAATGGTATTTAGATGTGTAACTCATATATATAAGCGATGTACCTGTAACACTCCGCATTTTATTTTATATATATGCATATAGATATATATTAAATAATTTTTGTAAAAATGGGGATAGGTGTCGCGATGTGTGTTTGAATTTGGTAGATTGGAAATGAAAAAAGGGATGAAATAGTGAACAGTGCACGTGAACTGTGCACTGGCTGCAACTTAAAGCCCAATTTAGACTTTGATGTACTTAATATCTCTTAAAACTCAAAACATGAAAGTTGTAAAGTTCTTTCTTAGCTTTCCATAGCATCTTGAATCATCTCAATCGGAGCTCGGATAAGAGAGTTATGCCATGGAAAAAGGGATGAAATAGTGAACAGTGCACCTGAACTGTGCACTGGCTGCAACTTCAAGCCCAATTTAGACCTTGATTTAGTCAATATCTCTTAAAACTCAAAACATGAAAGTTGTAGAGTTCTTTCTTAGCTTTCCATAGCATCTTGAATCATCTCAATCGGAGCTCGGATGAGAGAGTTATGCCATGGAAAAAGGGATGAAATAGTGAACAGTGCACGTGAACTGTGCACTGGCTGCAACTTCAAGCCCAATTTAGACCTTGATGTAGTCAATATCTCTTAAAACTCAAAACATGAAAGTTGTAGAGTTCTTTCTTAGCTTTCCATAGCATCTTGAATCATCTCAATCGGAGCTCGGATGAGAGAGTTATGCCCCGATAACGAAGTAATATCGAAGCAGCCCATGAACAGTAAAAGAAAAAAAAAATCGGGATTTCTGTGTTTAAAAACACAGATTTCAGCCTTTACTCTCATTTCTCTCATTCCACTCTCAACCCACTTCTCTTAGGACTCTAGAGGAAGAGAGAAGGATAAAACACAAGATCAAGAGGAGATCTATACTTCAAAGAAGATCAAATCTTCATCTTCTTCACACTAAACCTAGGTTTTTAAGAACATTGAGGTAGGGTTTTCTTCCATCCTTGTCCATTGATGTTAGGGTTATTATACATGTAGAATTTGGCTCTTAATAGTATGTATTTGTTATGGGTTTCTTGTTCCTTGGTATGTTTACAAACATTCCCATGATTTGAACAAAATGATGGTTGGAAATCCATCAAACTCTAGTTTTTGGGGGAAATATGGATTTTTCTCTATATCTTCACATCATCTTGATTTCGAAAATTCTAGAACTTTGTGTTGGGTAGTAAAATGATTGTATTGATGATCTCATGCTTATTTCCTTTAAACTTGTCTCTTGTTACATGATTTGCGAAATGGGTATATTTTCTTAAATTGTTCTATTATGTATCTTGCTTGTGAAAATTTGGGGAAACATCATGGAATTTGCTTGTATATGAGGTTGAGTATATTGTTGGTATGTCACTCTTGTGTATGGTGTTGTGAGGGACTTGGATTACCTTCGAAAACTGCCGTAGAGCATTAGAGGTTAGTCTATCCCAATGGGGGGTGAGATGGTTGCCTAATGCTCGTAGTGGATCACTGTGGTGACAGTGACCACTATTGTTCACGGATACCGGGGAAAAGGATTAGTATATTAGACACCTTGGAAGGATCTCGTCAAGGCCGTATGAGACGGTACATGCCCTTCCTAAATTGGTGTGTGATTGTTAGTGGAAATGGGTGAACGAGGTAGAATCGTCGAGTAGATTCATGAGAAGCGACAACCTACTTGAGTGGTACCAAATAGAAATTTTTGTTCATTGTACCAAATATTATTTTTCCAAGAGTTTCGGGTAGTATGGGATGCCGCGATACCTTGTGGAAATGGTGTATGGTGGAGTGGATTATGTTGGAAATTGTTTGTCAATTAAACGTGATTTTATTCTCGTTCAAGTCCTTATTATTGTACAAACTTGAGATCTCCTTTAAAATGTCCTTACTTTACTTTAAAATTCATTTATATGTATGTGCGAAACGTGACCTACCTGTTTTACTTGATTTCAAAACCTTGAATGGGTTTGGAAGGATCCTCCTATAGAGCCTTGTGCTCACCCCCCTACTTCCCCACCTTTCAGATTTTGCCTTTGACGAGGAGCTGGGAGTCGAGGGGCCGACATATTTGGAGACTCCGATAGAAGGGAGCGTGGATCCCGAGGTGGATGCTTAGAGCGACCCCCCTTTCTTTTGTTATAGACTTGGATAATCTTTTGGGAGAATTGTATAGCCTAGTTTTTATTTTATAAATTCCGCTGTGTATTATAGTACTTTTGTGGGAATGTAAAGGCCATAACTTGGCCTATTCTTTTGGGATAACATGTAAATTGGATGGATTGATTTTATGGTACTTAAATGGACCCCGTGTGGTCATTACAGTAGAATTGCACAGGTTGTGTTTTGGGTAGAGCTCCCCGAACAGAGGAGACTCTGCCCAAATTTTCTTAAAATATGAATGGTGGATGAATGAAACTTTCGTCGTGATGGATTTACTTAATGCTCTCATGCGGTGAATGATTTTTAGAATGTAATGTCATCTAAGGAGGTTTTTGGGGCGTTACAGTACCAAAAAAAAAGACAACAAAAAAGACTTCACATCAAAAGATTGTCTATTTCTTCATTAGGAGATGATAGTTCTGGTGTTTATTTTCTTACAAAAAATTGTCCATAACTAATTAAAAAATGAATTTGTCTAATTAGATTCAAGTTTAATAGTTCGTCATTAAATTCGTAATGAATGATATATTGTATTACACATAGTCAACATATAATCCATAAGTCTACAATACTTGTGTATATTTGTTGTTGAAATTTCAAATCTAGTTCACTTGTATTCAGCAGCAGATTTACAATGGGGGGCAGCTGCCCCAACTTGAATTTTAGAAAATTTTGGGGCTTCAGTAGTATTTTAAAAATTTTGAATATTTTTACAAATTGCCCCCACTGAAAAGTTATGGTGATATATATTAGGAGAACATGTGGATGTGTTTCATAAATATAAAACTAGATTAGGAGAACACTTCTTGCTTCCTAGTCCCGACTTTTCATTCATCTCTTTAGACTTCCTTTCTTTCTTTGACATCTCATGTCGTTCCGTAATCAGAAGTTCCTTACTTCAACCGAGTTTTGCTCTCTTTAGTCCACCTTTGTTCCCTTTTTATGTTTGCCTTGTCTTTAGTCATTTATCTTTTTGTCATCGATTAGATCGTCATTTAACCAATTGATTGCAAAAATTGCTAAGAGCTTAAAAAATTCTATGAGAGCTATCGTGCAAGAGCTAACTCATACACGATTTCTTTGATTGGAAAAATTTTTGTATTTTTTGGCATGGTGATAAGGGCTTATACCCATTTGGATTTTTTTACTCATTTCTTTTTTTGGCTAACAGTGGACGATAGAACTGCAATTATCTATATTTGAATTGAACAATGACGATTCAAACAGTTGATTTTTGATCTCTTTCGAATATTAGTTTTAGTGTTGATTTCTTTGGATATTAGACGGTGGTGAGGGTATAAAGGAGTTTAATTTTGCAGAATGAAATTATCGATTGTTTCTGTGTGTAACAGTCATCTTTTTTTGTGAATCATAGATATGGTTAAAAATTATGTTATTATGATTCAGAAGTAGTCCCCTATTTGTTATTTTTAGATGTTGGTATTAAAACTAGATTTTGAATTTTTTTTATTTAATTGGATTGCACTATATATAATTTGGTTGTTAAGCATTATATTTTGAATTAAGTTATTTTTATTAATTGGACTTGAAGAATTTAATTATTATAGCTCAGATTGTTCCTATATCTGAGTTCGACTTAATAGAGTTATAATAGAATTAATTTTTCTAAAAATTTTGTTACTTATGGTTTTCTTGTAATTTATTTGTTAAAAACACAATGATGGGTATTGAGTTAAGGTCTAACAATTGAATTGATTTTTGAATTTGTTAGGATAATTAACTTTTTTTTTAAAAAAAATTAAAAATTATTAAGGAATTTTATGTTACCCCCACGGAAGAAATGGTCTGGCTCCGCCCCTGCTTGTATTTGGGTCTTGCTATATTGATTTTTTTAATTGAAATAGAAAAACTTTTAGAGTGAAATTTGTGTGATTCCCTACAACAGATTTTGTCTTGTTCGTGCTTGATTTTATGTTGAAATTAAGGTGATTCACAACAATAAAAATTAGTGACTGTTTTTTTTTTCTTGAGTCTATTCTTGTGGTTTTGGTGAGTTAATAGTTGTTATATATCCCAACACCAACAGCCAAGTAAGTCGATTTATTTATGAATATATCAAACTTCCAAGAAATCAAAGGAAGGAAATGAGGGTTGGTGAAGAAAGGTAGAGTCACAGAGACTAAAGTTTGAACGAAGAAGACGTTAAGACGAATAAAAGGCGTGAAAGAACTGAGCTTCCAAAGTTATGTTTAATGGT